TATGTGATGTTATTTAATTGAATAAGATATATTATTGTTCTTATTGCATTATGATTATAGTTATCGTTAATAAAAAGAAAGTTCACTTATGGTATGATTTTGTTAGAGGATAATCTTATTAGGAAATTTAGGAGGCGACATCACATCACATGCGCAGTGGAAGAATATAAAAAATAAAATCTCTAATTCCCAAATATGTGTTCGTCATCGTACAAAGATTGGTGCGTAAGATTTGTAAAACTTAAAACTACATAAATGAAAGATTGTGTTACATAGGGAGATCGTATATCCCTAAATCCCTGCAGATCTTTAGGAGAGGGTGAAGGAGGTCAAGCATTCTCCTCTCTACCGGTGATTCATACAACAGGGCTGCGACGACACTTCTCGTAACTCCAGGCCTACTCTGAGGAGGAGAAGGGGACGAGAATAGGAGAGACAAACCAAAAAGACTCTAGCCTATGAACCGAGGTCCCCTATTAACTTAACCCTAATGGATCCTGCCCTATTGGGTATTAAATCTCCATCCAACTACCCAAGCCTCTTAGATTAGTGGATCTCTATCAAATAATCTCTAATTAGCTCTTATTGGATCTCATCCATAGGATCCAATAATTAATGGGCTTATTGGATATCCAATAAGATAGGGGCTTCGGCGGATATCTTATATCTGAACCTCTACTCAACACAATGCCTACTATATATATGTGACCCTCTAGGCCTAATATCGAGCTGGCCATGAGTCATACATGTTAGAACTCCTTCCGACTCGGTGAAATATCATCTCTATAATAATTCATTCGACTTATCGACTGCGGACGTACTATGCCACTACGTCGTAGTCTCAAGATGATATAGGGGAATTCAATCCATTAGACTTATTTATCCTCAACTACCGTATACCTATAGTCTCTCATCTATCTAATATCCTAGAGACTATGTACCAGGTATGGTGTTGTCAGGCTTATACGGTTTCTACTCGAGTCTCGCTCTAATTGGATTCTCCCGGAGAACTCTTTCTCTCTCAATTCGAATGACCCTAGCTAGGGATTTGTTTGAGCAAGAACACATGAGATATTCCTCTCATAACACCGAGAGTGAATGATCCTCTATCAACACTCAATGGTCCTCGTAAGGTTAGCTACTACTCATGATGATCGGTTGTGCTAGATCTGGAACCTCCAGATCTATAAGTCTGGTATCAAAGAGTGGAAATACTCATACAAGACATCCTTGGTAGCTCAAGTCTAAGGACTAGATATACCATTAGGACCGTGGAATCGCTGTCTGACAATAAGACATCATCAACCATCCAGCATTCTGTAAGCGGATCAATCAGTGAACTAATTCCCCAATGAGCACATGTATTGTCTCCCTAGTGTCCCACACGAGCAACTATAAGACAAGCTGTATCCATCATATGGACGGGTATACAACACACCAGTCTGTCCGGTTATCTCGATGTCCCTCTCGAGTAAACTTAGGATCTATGTTTAAAGGAGAATTAGTCTCATTATCGTGATCTCATCATAATCCGATTCTCATTGCACAGACCTATGGACATTATAATATATTCAAGCAACGGTCAATATAAAGTGATAAAATACTAAAATATAATAATAAATAAAAAGACTATGTGTCAAGTCACACGTGTCATTACTTACGTAATTGGCTTGCAGGACACATATGACTAGCA